AGTTAACATTTAGCCTTCTAATTTGAGAAGTAATCTGGGCTATCTGTTTGACATTATCAAAACACATACACGCTCATCTGCACGGAAGGTTATAATGTAGAGGGGGTTGTTGCTGTTTTTTTCTCTTCTCTTCCATCAAGCTATCCAATTGCATTTTGATTGTTTTAGGGGGTTGTTCTTTAGACCAAGGCATAAAGCCTCATCTGTTTTATTCCAGTTTACTTGTGTATTTATCTCCCCAAAACTTGCTTGGTTTACTACCATACTAAATGCTGTATGTGTTGCTTTCAGCCAGGCAAGCCTTATGTTTCAATTATGGAGGAGTTTATTCAGTACCTGTATTGCGTTGTGCTTCTTTTCAACTAAATTTCCATTTCCCAAAGGCTGTATGCATGAATGTGTATGCATCTCTCTTTTGTATATGTATACTCACACACAAATCTATAAATTTTCACATAAATCTATACACTTATACATATATACAAATATATAATCTTAACTGAACTTTCATTTTCATTGCACCTTTGAATTTCTGAGATATCCAAAACCTTCGTAAACAGACTTAACAAGGTTTTAATGTTCCTATTATCTGTCTTTGTAATCAAAAAGAACAGAATATAATGAATGGAAGCCTTGTTTACCTATCCCCGAAGTATTTTAAATTTCAAAATTATTTACACTTTTGAGAAGATAAAGTAGCAGAAGAACTAAACTAGTATTTTCACACTACATTATTTTCCAGCTGCATTGAATGCTTATTGAGAGAGGTTTGGGTCAGGTAAGAACACCATCCTAACCGCAGCAGCGTAATGGTGGATTTTAAGGAGATTTGGGGGGTTTTGTGTTTTTTTCCTCCCTAAATAAGGATTGAAAAAACATTGTGGCTCTCACGTCTATGAAAGACTCTTGCTTTCCCACTGCACACTACCTCCACTCTTTAAGTGCACTCACCCGCGTGTGTTCCAGTAAATCTCAGTTAAGTGTGGATTGCTGATTTCTTCTGACTTCTTAAATAGAATATTATGTAGACCTGTGTGTTTTAAATTAAAACACATTCCAGGCCTTGGGTACAACAAGCTTCAGTAGAAAAGGCTATTTAAACCTATGGGGACAGTCCTATATTTAGATTACATTAATTCATAAATATTATACTAAATACCACTTAAATTGGCCTTAAATGACTTCAAAGATAATGCATTATAATATGGCTGTCCTGAGAGCACTAACCTTTATGTCTCCCAGTAACTCAGCATTTAAGCATACTCCATTGCTAGATAAGAAGAGGGGAAGTTATGAATGAATGGCTTGTTAAATTGTTCAAGTGTGATTAGCTAACTCTGCTCGTGCGCGCGTGTGTATGTGTGTGCATATGTGAGCATGTGGGTGGGTCAGCTCAGCCCCGGTAGATTTCTACCCGTAGATCTCAGCACACAGCCTCTTCCCAACTCCTAGAGCAAAGTACTACAGCAGAAGCCTGATCCTGCCATGTGTGGGAAGAAGCAAGAATGGGGGAAATGTGCAGCAGCTCTGCTTGTGCCATGAAAGCTTGTTTTGCCGGGGATCTGGCAAGCCTTTCCCGCCTTCTCTCACACACTGCTTCCCCTGTACCCTTTTCTCTCTTCATGTATCTGCAAGACAATCACATTCCCCTCTTTCTTCCTTAGTATCTGGCCTGGTATTAGTGGAGGCTGCTGGTGAGAAAACCTGGAACTTCACTCTCAATTGTGATAGTTGTTCTAGGAGAGGTTCGTAGTCATGTACTTTATCTTCAGGTTCTTAATTTTCAATTTCCTTCTGCTATACAAGAGCACCACAATAGGATCTCTTCCTAATATTTTCAAGAATACACATCCTGTGCTCGAATTTCAATGGATTTACACGTGAAATTACACTGGCTATTATATTCTTACTTTAAGATTATTCTTATTTCTTCCCTCCTTTCAACACAAACCCAACTTCTCCCCCTCCAAACCCAGGTTTTTTCACTGTACACTTAAATAAACTAGAGACCACTATTAACCCTTCAGAGTATAACACTGTCACAACCTCATCTCCTGGATTAGGAATTAAATCAACTGACAGTGATGGATCAATTAATGTCTAAGCATTATGCATCACTTATGGAAAGCATCTTGTGGTTTTATATTGCCATCATACCCCTGAGAGGCAAGTTGGACTATCTTTACGCAGTTCTTCACCTACGCTTGAAAAGCAAAGCCAAAATAAGGAGATCTGAGTGAATACTGTGCTATACATGACTGAATTTAGAGAAAGGAAAAGAAAAACAATATTTTAAATGAAATAAAATAAAAATAAAAAAGCCAACACAGTCCTCATCCTTCAAAGCCCCATCATGCTTTTTGACTTAATAGTAATTAATCACTACTGGCAAGAAAGTAATTTTTTTCCAAGTAGCCAGAGGCACATTTTTATCAGGATTAGCTAATAAATCAGCGACATCGGTAGAAAGATGTTCAAACTCTTCTCGGATGTAGTAAATAAAACCGATCTATGAAACACTGGCAACTTGGTGTCTATTGAAACTTCACTCAGACCCTAGCCTGGAAATTACAATCATCATCATCATTTTTCCTTCCAAAGTCCAAAACTTCTAGGAGGTAAAAAAAAAATAAAAAATCACTGTTTCTTTTAAGATGAACTCATGCAATTCGGTTTGATGAAGTGACAAGATTTCCCCCCTGGCTTTTTTTTCCTAGGTTGCAGTTATAGAACAGAAATAAAATACAAGGAAATGAAGTTAGTATCCTGCTTAATTCAGGAATATGTGTTAAACACATCCAAGCAAGATAAATGATCCTTCTCTCTCTCTCCCTCCCTCCCCTCCTTCCTGAGTTTGTTTCTGTGAATGCAGGCATATAGTAAAAGCAAAACTGAACAGAAAGAGAAAGAACGCACCTCTATGAAACAATAATTAAAGTTAGTGCATAGATTGATTAATTACAGGTTTAAGATAGAACATACAAAAAATAAAATCTCATCAACAAAACAAATAATGGACCCCTCTAAGAAAATAACAACAAATAAAAAAACCAACATTAACTGAGGTGTTAGCTCAAAGATTTCTTCTGCACTGTATTGAGTGATTCTCTTCAGTGTAGTTTTTACTGTTATTTTTATTTTACGGAAGCCTTAGATAATTTCTGCAAACACATGCGTTCACTCATGAGCTCAGTGGCTGCTCTCACTATGGCTCATCTAGTAGACAAATCCTCCCAGGACCTTTCTTTCCTTGTGCTTCCTAGTAATATTTTTATTGTCATTATTAATAATTATTAATAGTACAGATATCATGTTTAAACAATGCCTATCAGACCTTGATGTCTTGTAGAAAGCTATTCTGAAAAGAAAGCAAGTTTCGAAAGGGCTACACTGATCACTGTAAATATGAGAAGGGTGTTTGGAGCGACCAACAAGAAAGAAAGGAAAAAATACCCTGTAACTTGGTCTGAGTCCCCGAGCCCTGAACATTTTCTCTAGCCTGTGTGAAACTGGCACTTTGCACTGCCAGGGTATATTTTCATTCACATTTCTTGAGAATTGAAGAGAGGAGGTGAGTGAGTGGGAAGGGGAAGAGATACTTGCTAAACATGCCATTAAGTTCAAGATTTACAACTCGCCAAGGCATCTGGAAAGCTGGGAAGCCCGTAATGCTATTACCAGTGGCTCTCCCTGCCAGGAGTTCACCAAGCTGGAGTGGACACTGCAACTGAAGCTCTCCTGTAACAGATGCAACTTCCATTGCTCCCGTGGCCCCCTGCAAAACCCTTTCTCCTCCTGCACTAAATCTAGAGTCACACCTCAATAACCCTAATCACTTCTGATCTGGTCTTTTTTTTTTAACTACATTTCTAATGAAATAAAATACAGACCCTGAGTTAATAAAGTGGATTGCTTTGCTGCTGGGTCTCTCCTGCTCCTAAGTGGGGCTAGCATGAGAATTATCTTCAACTTCATCCCTGCAAGTCCTACTTTCTTATCCAAGGATCTGAGAATCTCTCCCCCACTACACACACCCTCCCCCGCATCCAAAATGTAGCATCATCTAATCTGAAATGCACCTCTGGAGAGCCTAAGCTAAGCGGGGAAAAGAGCTGGCAGAGATGGAGCAAGCAGGGCATCGTATGGGGAGTATGTCTCCTCTGCCTTTAAAGAAAACCTAAAAAGTTCCTGGGATGGACTTTTGGCACATTAAAGTAGTGCTTGGAATATGTCTTCTCTGAGACATCTCCCCTCTGGAACTAAACTGCCACCCATCCCCTCTGGCTTGCCCTCTCCAACACACACTGTGATTTTGTACAAATCCCCCTGTCCCACTTAAGAAAAGCTTTTTTTTTATTTATTTATTTTTTTAATTTTTTAATTGTTGTTTACATCTCTGTACCCACATTGGGGGAAAAAAAAAAAATAAAAAAAATTTAAAGCCTTCCCTGGAGCAGCTCACTCTTCTCCACCTCTGGTTTTGGAGTGGACTGAGGACAATAATTCTAACAGAAGTAAAAATAAAAAATAAATAAATAATAAAACAATAAAAAGAAAAAGGAAGAGAAAAAGAAAGAAAAAGAAAAGGAGCTGGTGCCAGATACACAACAGTTGTAAAACAGGGGCTCCCCAGCTCTGCACACGGACAGACAGAGGGACACACGCACACCCCGGGCGCCGCCCGCTCCGCAGCTCGCCCCGGCTGCGCGGGGGGCTGCGCCGCACCCCCCGGGAAACGGGGGGAGAGAAATAAAAATGCTCATAAATAAACCGAACGGAGCGGACTCTCTTCGCTGCCTCTCTCTCTTCTCTTTCCAGGAAGGTCTATTATTTCTTTCCCTGCCCCCCCAGCCTGCTGCCTCCGCCGCCGGGCAAACACAAAAATGAAATAAAACGAAATGAAATCGAAAGGAAAGAGAGAGAAAGAGAGACCCAGAGAGAGAGCGGGAGCCTGCCGTCTTCTCCCGATCTCTCCCGGGAAAGTTCAGGAGGTAACTCACCTTTGTGCATGCCAGTGAACCTGTCCTTCAGCACCGTCAGTTCATAGATCTTCCCGAACTCCTCGAAGAGAGGTTTGAGGTCTTTCTCGTCCAGGTTACGGGGGATCTGCCCAATAAAGAGCTTAATGGCATCGTGGTCCTTCATTGGGATGGTGGATGGGTTTCCGGGACTATGGTTTAATCCGTTCATATGCCCGTTGGTGCTGGGGTTGCTGTGATTGCTACTCAGGCTGGTATTGTCTGGTTGTCCGTTTGCTAACGTGGCCATCTTTATATACATAGAGAAAATCTTCTTTCCTTTTTTTCCCCCTCTTCTTTTCTCTCTCCCTCCCTCTCTCGCTCTCTCTCTCGCTCGCTCTCTCTCCCTCTCTCGCTCTCTCGCTCCCTCTCCCTCTTTCACACACACACACACACTCACACACACACACACTCCTCCCTCTCCGTCTCTCTCTCTCTCTGGGTCTGATCTGATTTTTTTTTTACATTGAAGATCTGTGTCCTTTCCGTTTAAACAGGCTGGATCGGTTCAAATTCCCAGCCAGACTAGGGGGTGGGGTGTTAGTGCGTGGATGTGTGTGTATGTGGGGAAGAAGGCTAGGGGTGGGGGATTGCTTTTGCCTCTGCTCTGGCTAAACCCCCTCCTCCCATCCAAACACCCCCCTGTCTGTCTGCCCGGGAGAAGCTTAGTGGTATCTTCCAGCACAGCCCCTGGCTATAAATAGCACTAGGCGCATGGCTCTTTGAGAGACAGTCAATTTCTATTGTGCCAAGTGAGCAAAGGGGAACGGTTGCGTTTTTAGGACCAATGATGATTATTTTTATTTTATTTTTTTTTTTCCTTTTCCTTTGCAAGCCTTCCGATCAATCGCTGTCATTATAATTTCACTGATCATCGGGAAAACTGCCTTTTTATTTGAAAGGGAGAAAAAACAAAAACAAAAAAACCCAAGGTGTTCTGACTTCTTCCTCTTATGATGATGTCTCTTATTTATTATTTACTGTTATTACGATTTCGCAATTGATAATAAAGCAGTTCAGACACGGATGAATCCTCAGGCTCAGAGGTTTCTTTTGCTGTTATTGTGATTGTGATGTTACAAGCTCTCTTTACTATATTCGTTCTTGTTGTGTCTGAAAAAAAATGCATGCTCCTTAAGCGCTTTCTTTCTTTTTTTTTTTTTTTAAAAAAAAAAAACAAAACATGATTATGATGACATCAGGATAGGAAAGGCGTAAACGGTATTATTGTAGCTCTTTGGAAGGAGATGAAAAATATCGAGATAACTTGTTAATTTTCATGCTGCCGATATTTATTTTACGTACAATCGGTGCGGGTGTTATTATCTATAGTAGCTGCGTGTGGTGTGTGCTTGTGTGTGTGTTTGTGTATCGGAAAGGGATTGATTAGATAAGATTTTCTTGCCTGACTTTCAAGGCATCCGGATATTCTGTCTCTCTCGAATGGAAGCATAAATCGTATTTTGTAGTCATCAGGGATCGGGAGTTGCTTGTCCGAACAATGCTCTCTAGACAAAGTGTACTGTATTGTGGAAATGAAATCAGCTCTCCTTTCATAGCATCTGGGGGTGGGGAGGGAAGGGAGGCTCGGATTAAGGACACAACTCCCTCTTGTCCCCCAAATAATAACAGTAATCCGGACAGTAACAAAACAAGGCTCTGCGTGTGTTCAGAGCAATCTTTTTTTATGACTATTATTTTTCCTTTTCCCCCTTTTCCCCTGGTTCCTATGCAAGCTGTACGGGGATGAAGC